GGGGGAAAAAAAAGTTTTCGTCAATACCAATACTGAACAGAATCTTCAATTGATCCATATTTTGGTTCCTTTTGTGTACTTCTTTTCAAAACAAGTTTCTATACTGCTTCCACAAAAATATACCAATTCCTAAATGAATCATTTCCAGGCAATTCTGCCGTCTACTATGCAAGTACACAACAATGAAAAAGTATAAATGCGAAGGAGTGTGCACATTTTTAGATTCCCTCACTTTGTCAAAAATAATAGCTAGGAAATTATTAGCCACACCTACCGATTTAATCTCCCAAAGGAGATACACTGTCATATAGGACCTGAGAAACAAATTTCTCCATATCTGCTCTGACAGTGTATACAACCATATGTCTCTGTGGTATAAACAGTTGCGTTTCTTAACCAAATCAAACAAGCGGGCAGGTGGAGTAGCTGCTCAACCTGCTCCACCTGTAGCAAATGTAGTGCCTGGTGTGTCAGGCAAACCAATTTTTAAAAAGAAGTCATTTTATTCCCTCGGCAATTAACAAAGAAATTATCGTTTATCTAACTCCTACCCAAAGCCTATCTCTCACTGTGGAAACCAGCTTAAGTAAATAGACAAAAGCTTTAGCCTGTATTAGCTTGCACTTTAAAGAAGTGCTCTACTGCCTGAGCCATAAAGATGTTCATCACAAAACAGTGAGAACTGACACTGAAAAAGCTTAAAATGCCATGACACCTAAGACATGACATGCACAGCAGCCTGCTATGTGTCAAAGGTCATGTTTTTTGCTGAATAAAGTCCTGGGAATAAAGTATGGGGCCACTGGTGAATAGAGAAACTTTTTTTGTTCATTGTTTTTGATTTGCTGGGAAATAAGGTTGGTTTATTTGTGCCTTTAAACAGAAGATCTCCTTAAGATCCCTGATGGATGGCCTCGCGCCCTGCCCGACAGATCTCCAGCAGGGGAGCCCCGGTCACCACGAAAAATAATTCTGGAGTTCGATGTGTATAGATCCGAAGGCACCAGTTGGTACTCTGTGGATTGGTTTGAAATGTGAATTTAAAATGCATGGGAATGTATGACAGCGTCTCTGTCTACAAGATAAAGAGATGAAAATGTCTGGATTAAAGTGTGTTAAAGCACAGGAGATTATCTGTTCAATTTGTTAGAGTGTGTTTATAGAAACAGCTCTTCCAACAGCTCCGCTCATCCCTGTATTGTCACTATAGCTGGTCATTTTTAAAAAGGGATATTTACTTTGTATTTTTCATGGGATGTTTTCAAATTCCCAAACAGACCTGCTGTAGAAAAACGTAACACCAGCAAAACCGATTAAAATAATCTTTATCTTTAGTCTAAATGTTCTCTGAGCTCAGGATGCTTTTTATTTCCCCATGGTCTACTGATTTTACATTAAGCTTACAAATCAATATGTCCCTCTAAAACTTCTAACTATCCTTTTAATTCCACCATAATGCACTCTTTTTGCTCTGTGACATTACATGACCATCCCACATGAGTGATGTCATACTACCAGTAAGAGGTACAGTTGTGAGTGAATAAGATGGTTCCTGTCTTTTATTGCCATGGCAACACGCCACTGACAGGCTTCACCCGGACAGCTGCTACACACAGCTGCAGATCTGAAGCTGGCGATTAGATAGTCTCTCAAGAATGCCGAGGCTGTCAGCTGCTGAAGGCAGCCCAAAAAACCAACTCCTTCCCCAACAACACAGGTGAGTTTTTGACAGCAGGTTACAGACTATGAGAATTTAGACTGTCGGTACAGTGGTGATGATGGACTGAGAGCAACTCCAAAATGAGGGGGACAGCTAACTATAGTCTCCAGTTTCAACCAACTCTTCTTGTTTAGCCCCATTTCTCTGTAAACATGAATATGCCATCATCCAGCCCCTCAACGGTTTCACAGGTGTCATTGGTACGTTAGCTTGATTCCAAAACCGAACCTTGATTACACTGTAAAAATGTGGGTAAAAACCTGAACTACAAGCCCAAAGTGATAAAACACCCCAGCAAAAATAAATGAGAAGAATAATCGTATGTTTACTTGTTACAGGTGAATATATCCTTTCATTAAATATACAGCATATATTCATGTCAACCTGTCAACCCAGCATCCCCCCAGAGATTACAGACGGATGAGAACAAACTATTCTTCATGATTTCAGAAACCAGAGGTGTGCACCTTGTTTACATACACGGTATATTGCTTTTACACTTAAAAATATGGAATATTTATATAGAAAATATCCAAAACAATAGAAACGTCTTTCTATGGACAATTTTTCTTTTTTATGAAATCACATATGTACCCACAACCTAACAAACTAACCCCCATTAACCCTTTGGCACAATAATCATATGAATATCAATTATCATATTGTTGAATTACAAGACATCTGAATAGGAATGATCACTCACACATTCAGTGTTATTACACAGTTTCTCTAGTCGGGACACATAATTGGTACCATATGTAACAACATAGCTCAAAAAGTTTTTTTTTCCTTTTTTGTCACCTTATTGATATGTAGATAAATTCACTTTCATCAGAAAAAGAAAAACAGAACTTTCTTTGCATGCCCTTATTATTTACAGAATCTCTGTCTGAGTTTGTTCTTGCTGGCTACAGTGGAGCGCAAATGCCAAAACAAAAATCAGACCACGGACTGCATCTGCATCCATCAGCTGTCCCAGCAGACAAATGCACCTACTGCAAAAAGTATGGAGATCCCAACAATTCCCAGGCAAAATTCTGTAGTAGTGATTTATGCTGACAGACAAACTGCAGAAATCTGCCTTGCTTGGGTTACCGTTTTTGTGCCGGATAAATCAGATCTAAAAGAATTCAAGTGATGTCTTTTACAACCTTCTGACGTTTGATTTTGTGGGTTTGCTTAGCTGGGTGTTTTCCTCCATGGAGGGAACTGACACAAAGTCGAACCCACTTCTCTCAGAAGCAGTGTGAGGAATGCATTTATCAGCACATCTATTCTCCCATGTGACTCGGCTGGAACGTGGAAATACATTCAATTAAAAGGCGTATCAAGTTCTTTATCAGTCCAATTTTGCCATTAGAGGTTTGTAAATCTTTTCATAAAACATCTTAAATTCATAAAAACTCTATTTGAGATAATCAATCTATTCTCTGTAAACTAAGCCCTCTCTCCTATAAAAGCCATTTTACATATAATTTTCCCCAAAATAATTTTGAGAAACTGATTAACTCCTTCAGGATGTTTACTCAAAGGATTTCTTCCAATGTAGATGTATGACATGAGGCCAGACCTGACCTTAATGTACTGTTTAAAAAAAATCAGAGATGCACTTTGTTGGTGAAAGTGGTGAAATATCAATACAACTTCATATAAAGTTAGTAAAAAGATTCCTCCAATCATCTTAGCATAAATGTCAGATCTAAGTTGGGGAAAAATAAATAAACTCTGCCCTTGGTCTCACCCAACTCCTGGGGAGAGATGTGTTCATTGAAGTTGGATGGAGTGGAGGTCAGGGTGATTTCCATACCAGTCTTTTCCTGGCTTCTCTTCAGCTTTACTGGATTCAGTCATTTCTTTATGCACTACAGTGTCGTCTATTGAGATAAGCACTAGTATGGGTTCATCTTAATCCTTGCATAACATGAGTTCAATCTGAAACGTTAACCCAACTGCTCGATCAGGATGAAATTTTAGTTAAATTGGCTTTCTTTCAAAAGAAACGAAAAAAATGAAAAGCCATTGCACCTGTACAACAGATGACCATAACAGGGTCCAAGGAGGAGGTTCTCCCCCAGTCTGAAGCTATCCATTTGTGCCCCCTAACATTTCAGTGGACACTGACTTCAATGAATACTATTGAAAGCACTGTCTCTGATAAACAGGGCCACTCTGTCCTGCTGACACATTGTACCAAGAATAATGTCATGACTGGGATCCGGCTAAGCCTGACAAAGCGGTCTGCTGAAGGCCGCACACTAACAATCATCTTCATCAGTCAGATTTGTCGCAGTAATCCACCTGAATGAGATTCAAAGACTACGATGTTTACAGCAGAACAAGGCCCGGTCTTATCAACACCTCTTCCCCCTCATTCTTAAGTGAAAGTCCGAGAGCTACAAAAAGGTTTGGTCCCAACGACTGCGGGAATCATGTAGAAAATATACATTCAAACTTCTGAAGAGACTTAAACTTGAGGAGTAGAAAATACTGAAAAACTGGCAGGACAAAAGAAAGCCGCATGACAAAGAAGGACTGAGGACGTGGCAGCTGTGTAGCGGGAGCATTTTGAAGGTGAGCAAATTAAAAGATGCTTTTCTTATAAAGTTCTTCACACAATGCACTTTTGTCAAAAGTATGTTGGATTACATCTCTGAAGAAGAATCCAGGACCTCTCAAATATTTACAGTGTTTTCCCGTGGGACATATATATATACATAAATATGTATATATATATATACATACATACATATGAGAGAAAAAGAGAAAGAGAGAGAGAGATTTAGTTTTTTATGTATATGTAGTGTATGTGCCCTTCATGGCCTCTATGCAGTTCCTACATGCTGAAAGAGTCTTCTGCAGTCAGTCACGTCCCCACCTCTTCTTTTTCACTAAGATGCAGCCACAATACACTCATGTTGGCTATTGCACGCACACACTATCTCTAATTAGCTGATAGTCGAGACATCTTAAGGCCACTAACCCAATCTAAATGACAGCGTTCAGACTTCAACCATCAGGTGATCGCTGTCATTACTGAAGCCAAAGTTACAGTGGCAATTCATTAATCCTCACTCACAAGAGACAGCAAGAAAATACGACATTGGCAGGGTGCTTCTACTTGCATCTCACTGCAAACATGTAAACACTAACACTGTTCGGTGTTCCCACCACCCAGCACTCTATGCCTACTCTTCCTCAGTTTTTTTTTTTTCCCCAAACAGGAACGAATGGATGTCAGTGTATCCTCCATTTTTCTTTCCCCACTCATTGAATCTCTGCCTCACAATGAGGATGAACTCTGGCTGTAGTTTCTGAGTGTCAGTCTGGTGTACCTGGGTGAAGGTGGAGAGGGGGGAGGATGGGAAGGGACGGGGGGCACGCACAGACTCATCTTTGAGTTTAGGGACTCACTGCTGGATGCCAGAGAGTCGCGGAAGGGTGATGGAGGAGTTAGAGCAATCAGCTCCTCTTCCAGCTCCGCCCTTCTCAGCGGGGAGTCCGGGAGGCAGGCGACCAGGCCTCCCCTCAGAGGCGAGAGAGACGGGGAGGTGTGGGGATGGGAGTGGGGCAAGGGGTAAGGTGAGTGAGGCAGAGGGTGGACGAGGCAGCCACCTCGGCCGGCCATGCTGGACTCGACGGGGGGCAGGGGCTGGACGTCGGCGTAGGTGGTGAGGGTGGGGGGCATCTGGAGCTCGCGGGGCAGCAGGTAGGGGTCTGCGGGGTGGGGCGGCGGGGGCGTGTGTTTGTGCGTGTGCGAGTGGGTCGGAGAGGAACACAGCATCATGCTGTTGAGCTCGGAGATGTTGGCGGTGAAGCGGTTCACCACGCAACTGATCTGGTCCATCAGCGTGCTCTGGACCACGGGGAGGCGGTCGTCCGTAGCGACCAGGCGGCCGTCGCTCCCGGCTGCCAGGGAGCCGCTGCTGGGGGGTCCGCAGCTGCTGCCGCCGCTGCTGCTGCCGCCGCTGCAGATGCTGCTGGAGTACTTTGGAATAGCAGCCATCATGGACTCCTCCGTTAAACAGGCTCCAATCCTCTGGCTGACGGTGCTGATGGGGGAAGGCGTCTGCGGCTGGTACGTAATGGAGTAGTGCTCCTCCGCTTCCGAGAGGTCGTACAGGGTCTTGTCCGTGCTGTTGTCGGCGTGAGAGGGCAGGGAGGACATGGAGGGGAGGGAGGGCAGGGGAAGGTGCGGCGGCAGGTCGGCCGCGCTGCAGTAGCGCTCCTCGGAGGTTTTGGAGAAGGGCTTGATCACGGCCGTTTGGTTGTTCTCTTTCTTCTTGATGTGGAAGGACAGACGCTGCCAAAGGTGGTTCCCGCGTGAGCCGCCGCGCTCCGTCTGCGCCCAGGACACCGATTTACCGTTGGAGCTGCAGAGCGGGAGGAAAACCGAGAGAAGAAGAGGGAGAGATTGTCAAGGCCTTGGAGGAAGTTTAATACATTCAAGGAGTAAAAAAATCATTCATTTTGTTCAGTATGATTCAGTCTGTCTAGTTATTTAGTTAATTCTCTCATTTTGACTTTATGCCCCAAGTAATTAAATTTTCAATTGATTCAGTAAAATCAATTCAAATTCTGACTCAGTTCTCTAGTTTCTGCTTTATTTTTTTGTGTCACCTTATCATTATTTCATTTAAATTTCACATTCCAGCGTACAGCTTTTTTATTAAACTTTTCACTGCCTCACATCAGTCACAGCGCTCTGTCCTTTGCTGCTCCTACATCCTTTAGTCAGGTTAATTAGTGTGATTAATCTACACCGAAACTCCTGATTAAACCTCACACCACCATGCCGGAGGACAGGATGAACTCAGATCACCTTGGAGACACACACATATACACACAAACTGTCTGATACTCACATATAAGTCCATATGCCAGTTGATTTACAACTGCACACACACACAAACACACACAGGTGTGATCTACCAGTCTAATAACACAGGAAGGGGCTAGCAAAGACACATGTGACTTAAACTAAGTCAGTGTTTTATGGAACCTCTCTAATATTATTTTATTCAGGTAAGAGGTTCATTTTAATGTCCAGTGAGGGTAAACACAGCCCTATTTAGTAGTCCAAACATTAGGCTCAAACATCAAACGTGTGAGTTTTTTCATTAATCCCGCTGGTCTGCTGGATTCTTGTCTGCCTGTGTAGCTTCAGCATTTCAAACGTAACTGTTTTGAAGCCAGCAGTCAAGGAGACAGACAGCCCTGCCAATTTACCAACACCCACAGAGGACAACGGGACCAAGAGGGACTGGGAAGACAGGAGTGAGGGGAACAAAGATGAAAACACTCCTGACACTTTCATAAGTGTGTGATTGAAATCTTGCTTGCCAAGCAGCAGCATGAGCTGAAGTAACCTGCTGACAAATGAAAATGTGCTGCTGTCTTTTCTTTGGGACAAGCAGCTATGTCACTCCTTTTGAGTCTTCAGATCAGTTCCTTGTCACTGTACATGTTGATGGTTGTGGACACTCTTAAAATTTAGGTGTGAGAGCAATAATGTTAAATTTTCTATCTCCATCTATCTTTTTTCACTTAATATTCCTGTCTCCATAACTCCTCTTATGCCCGTCTCTTCCTCTTTGAAATGTCTCCATGTAGCAGTTTACAGCAGTTCATGTTTGGGTCAGCAGACCAGTCAAGCAAATACAAGGGAATATAGAGAATCAATCTCTATGAAATTTCAAACGTGCACACACACACACACACACACAACCCATAAATACTGCCTAAGTGGAGCCATTATAGAAATGGGGTCTATGTCTGGGTCTGATGAGTAACTTCACATTAACCTGGCCAACAAGCTGTTTGGGGACACACAGCCAATGCACACAGATATACCTGAGCGTCTCTCCAGTAGAGCCTCTGCGTTTCCACAGGTTCACCAGACTAGAAGAACGGCTGGCGGCTGAGGACGATTTGCCGTCTCCTACATGCATGCGCACCACCGTGCTTGTAGTAAAGGCACTGCGCACATTGCGCTCCGGTTTTGCCAGAATGATGTACACCTGATATCAAATAAAACATTTAGATCATTCCTGAAACAGGTCTCAATAGTTTGGGGAAAAAGCAATTCTATGAGTCTCTACAGGCAACAAGATGCCATCTACTTAAACACGACCGCTTAAGCGGAATAGTAATCTGATTACTCAAGCACTTATCTAAAAGTAAAACTATGATTCAGAGAAAATGCTCAAAAGCCAAAGACGTTTTTTGACTGACAACAATAGGACACATCTGGTAAAGTGATTAATGTATGTTTATGTGATGTGCACCCTTTTGCCATTAGTGTATTTTCTCCAGTTTTCTGTTTGTTGTACAGGTCTACGTTCTACCTCCTGGCAAGCAAATGGATATCATAACTGCCTCTTGTCCACACTAGTTTGCTGTAACAAACCTAAAGGTGCTCTCAGATAAGATGTGTAGTTGTTGTGGGGATGGGGAGCAGAGCTCAGGAGAGGGCGAACCTGCACAACTGGTGTCAGAGTTCAGTAGTGGTTGAGCAGTGATTGAAGAGCTATTTAGCAAGTATTGAGCTTCTCCAGATGTGAACTGGATGTAGGATGTATCTGTCATGCTGTGAAGTTGAGCAGCAGCTAAGAGGGTGTGATTTCATAATACCCTCAGGGCAGAAAAGGAGTTCAGAGAGTTCAGACTAATTCAGGAGCTGCACCTGCACAGCGACTGCTTCCAGGTATACTATGGGCTGAGGATAGGGAGGCATTTGACAGCCTTTTGGGGAAAGCTGTACCAAGACTCACAAAGACCATATTTAGATTGCCATTACTCTCCAAAATGAATAGCATTTAACCTGAGGTGAGCAATTAGTTGGAATGAGCCAAATCTGTTCTGAATGGGCATATCAATATATCAGAAGTGTGGCACCCATACTAAATCTGCACCCATACTAAAGATTTGTTTTCAAGTTTGGCAACACACAAATATGAAGTGGAGTATAGCACCCATTGCAGCTAATATGAAAGCCTCTTCATAGTGTCAAGGAGGTACCTATTGTGTCGTGTTTAATGTATACTTAATTCTGACTTCTTTTTTTAAAACGACTTGAAAATTGGTAAACAGCCCTCCTAGTAAAAAAAAGACCAGCTGCTAAGTTAATCTGAAATGGAACATAGTCTGACTGAAGTTCATATAATTTAACATAGTCATATGGGGTATTGGTAAATTTCTCAAAAATAGTCGGTAAGAGTGCATTTTGTGGAAAAAACATAGGTGTACAGATTGTAACAGTAAAAAGAAAACAGTGGACATAACTTACCTTGGGCGCAAACATGCAGCATAGAGCCACAGTTGCACTGAGGCTGACACTGAAGCACATGGTGATAATTTTGTAGTTAGAGCCGAAGTAGATGGGTACAAATGCCAACCAGATGATACAGGTGGTGTACATGGTAAACGCAATGTACTTAGCCTCATTGAAGTTGGCCGGGACATTACGAGTCTTGGAGACAGAAGGAAACAGAGAACAGACAAGACAAGCAATCAGTAAAAAAAAAATCTGTTAAATGATGTGTATCATGCTTGATTTTGAAACAGTCAAGCAAAGGTAGGGACTCTGACATCAATTCTTTCTGAGTCAGAAGAGCCACTAAATCAACAACCTGATTTGGTATTAAAATGCCATCTAATAGCTGAATAGTTAAACGTGACCTAAACCACTTAAGTTACAGTCATTTTCTCAATGGCTTGGTTCAGGTGGCTTGTTTTTCCTTTTTAATGCACTGCATTTCAGACCCTCTTTACACGCCTCAGCTCTCAAATGTAATAGAAAATCAATGGCTGCAGGCGACTGATAATAAGCACTGACTTTATTATGTGCTCCTTGCAACAAATGTATTTTACTGCCGCTGAAAGTTCTTATATAAAGAAATTGCATTTGGTTATAGAGGCTCACAAATATCGCAAGAAAAAGTGTAACAGCAACAGTCAAACCTCAAGGTGCAGGTTACACCAAATTTTCTTAAATCTTCTGAATAACAAACAAATTTGTAGTTACAAATGATATATCCAGTACCTTAAAGGCATAAAAGGTGCAGCTGAGGATCAGTAAGCCATTGTATCCCAGGGGGGCAACCACACCGAGGTTGGTGGTGTTGCAGATGAGGTTGACCTCCCGGATGCTGGGGTAATCGTAGATCACCTGTACATGCAGGAATAAAGGTGACCAACAGGTAGAAACTCTACAAAGCTATTGCATGTATGTTTTTTCCTTTTTCAATTAAAAAAACACGGTGAATATACAAAGGTTGCATTAGTTACACTTTGGATGCAGGAGTTAGGGTAAGCAAATATTTCAGCGACAATTGAAATACTGAAGAACTACCCAAGATTTTACAAGCCTTTTTATTTTTTTGTTGATGAAGAAGAAAAGGTTAATAATGCAAAAATCTAATATCTGTTTTCTCACATCAATCCTTCCTATTTTGTGTCTCTGTCTCAAAATTGTTAATATCATGAACCCACACACCTTCGGGGACTCCATGAGGAAAAGAGCCACGATGATGCCTAGCTGTAGCAGTATGAGGAGGAAGGCAATGATAAGCTGAGCACAGGCAGACATGAAGCGAGGTTTCTTTGTGCAGATCTTCTTCTTGCTTCCTGCCAGTATCCGAGCGATGCGGTTTGTCTGGTGTTGGACACCAAATAAATAGAAAAATAGAGCATTTACTGAGCAAACTATTATTATCATTAAGATATGTGGTCTGTTTGTCAATTTTTGAAATCATATTAATAAAAAAACTGGGAGGTCACACTGAGTCTCTTTACTTTCCCCAACTCAAAGCTCACCTTAGTGACAAGGGCAGAGTAGCTCATGGCAGGTGAGAGGCCTATTCCCAATCGTTGGAGGTAGCAGTGAATGACCTGGGGTTTTGCTATGAGAGTGAAGGTGCACAGGTATCCCAGGCAGATCCCTGCCAGTATAATGTAACACAGCTCCCTACTGGAGGATTTAACCACTGGAGTGTCCCGAAACCTTACACACAAAGCATACAAAACACACATCTGTGAGTGCAGATATGCATCAGGATTCAAAGATTGTATTTATGATGCAAATCTAGTCTAGTGATTGTCCTGATAGTCTAAATTTTGTGAGATAGGAAATTTGTTACCGGATAAAAACTGCAGTTACAAAGAAGGTGGCCATCAGACCGAGGCAGGCGAAGACTACTGCAGCAATGGGTTCGGGGTCCCCCCACCGCAGGTATTCCACAGGTATAGGGTCACAGCCTGGGGACAAAATAGACATTTATGTGAAAATGCAAGCAAAATAAGTCAAATCTTCAGTTTTGTCTAAAAACTGCTTTATGCAGACTAGGCTTGTGACATGACTGCCACATGTTGGTTTCTAATTGCATTTTCATTCCTTGTGTCTTATCCCCCTCATCCCATCTCCTCTTTTCCATCCAGTCCAGAACCAATCTGGTTGTAATTCTGGATGCAAAAGCATTAAGATCGGCACACAGTAAAACCAGTAGTAAAACTAATATGATGGTATGCTTTCTGGTTGAAGGTATATACTGAGTACAGCCCCACATTTTATACACTGTTGAAACACACATCTTGGTGAATGTTACAATTTTCTTTTGCAATAAGGCTACTTCTACAAAGTTGGGATAACTTTTAACTCATTAATTTCCCCCTTCCATTTGTGTCCCTACTTCACCCGTAATATGATATTAATCATTCAGCTCCTTCTATATCCCCTTATATCTCTATCTCCACATCGCCCCCCAAAAAAAACACCTTGCTCCTTAATTGTCTCCCTCTATCTCAGCCTTCTTCATAGGGAAGTAGATAAAGCGCCATTAATTAAAGAGACAGTTCTAATTATGTTCCAGCTCACCGCTGGCTGTTCTCAACCCACCGTAGGAACAAGGATGCACACAGAATTTTTTGATGAACCTTTTACCCCTTTAACATTTTCATGGGCTTGATTTTTTTTCTACTTTCTTTATTTCTGCAAAAAACAAAACCCTTGTTTGTTTATAGAAAGGATATAGGAAAGAAAAGACAGAAAAGGTATTAATAAAGATCTGGGAGCAGTAATTGAATAACTTTGTGGTTAACACAGTCAATAATGTGTATTAAGACAGCGATGTGGTTAGGTCTAAGGGCATGAACAACAGGCTTTTTGCTGATTGATTCAGCTTGATGTAGGCTGTGACTGAAAAGCTCAGAGTAATTTAAAGAATTTCAGGTGCAATTTTTTCCAAGTCATCATTTAAAAATATGTGAAATATGGAATGTATACCTTTTTTTTTTTTTAATTATTTTTTCACGTAAAGTATTCATGCTAGTATAGAGCAACTATATGAAAAAGGAGTAGCTTTACCCCAAGAACAAAAAAGGTTTCATTCTAATAATGCCTATTTGCTTCACTTTTTAAAAGACAAGAATTACAGTAACTGCCTCTCTTATTTACAAGTTTGGACACACAAGAAAGTGAATTTAGAATTCAGTCACATTTAATACTGCACACATAACTCTTGATGCGAGGGAGCTAATTCTAGATCAGTGTTCTTACTCATGGGCTTACTCAGAGCAGTCAAAAAGCATTGACTACATCAGCTATTTAATTCCCAATTAGTTCATAGGACTAGCAAGAAATTGAAGTTAAGCAAGAAGTTAATCCAATCTGGTGCATCAAGGGAGGGACGTCCGCTTAGAGAGTTTTAGTCAATATAAAGTTTTCAGGAAAACTCTTTTAAATGTTCCCAAACTCAAACTATACCGATCAATGGAGAGGCTCAAATCCCAAAGTTAATCCTCTTTTAGTCTGCTCCTTTTTCTGTCCCTGGCTGCTCCTTATGTCGCAGTCTCCATTCATCTCGATCTCTTTGGCTTTCCTGTTTCCTGTGTCCATCTACCATACTTTAACTTTAATTACTTTAATTTCCAAGTCACTTTTTTTCACACTTTTTTGTGGCTTTTGTCCCAATGCTGTCTCAATAACTCTTTGTTTTTACAGAAATACTTCACTTCCCTCCCGTGTCAGTTGATTCGTGCTCTATCTTATCTTTTCTCTCTGCCTCTTCATATTTTCCTCCCTTCATCTCAGACTTTCTGTTGGTCTGAGGGAGCAGGATCAAAATGCTTGCAGGTTGAACAGTGTGGATGGTTTGTTTGTTTGATTATTGCTGTTCTATACAGGGCCGCAGGGGGACTCACAGCACTTATTATTGATGAAATGAGACACACAAGCCCAGGCTCACACAGGGGTCTTGCACTCACCAACTAATATATGCACAGCCCCAATCATGTCTTCAATTATTCCCCTTTTTGATTTCAATGCTGGTTTAAAGCCTGCTTTAGTTTGAGCATGGTTTTGCCTATCCCAGTAAACTGTAATCTGAATTTTCAGCAGGACTCAATTCATGTTTTAATCATTGAGTTTGGTGAGTAGCTTGCAAACAGAATAATGAGCAGCTGAGAGCACAACAAAGCACCATCCAAACATTTGAAACGCAGTAGAGAGAAAATGCATTTTCACGGCAACAATGAAACCTTATCCTGAAGCAGGATTTTTAAAACATCCATCACCATTTGACAAGTCTGGAGGACAGCAAAAGGGAAGGAAGAAGCCCGAAAGACGTTAGAGTAAAATGGAGGGATCATCTCTGGGTTTCGCTTGACAGTGTAACTGATGCAGGGCATGCTAACATGTCGTGATAAATTAAAAAAACACACAGGGAATTGTACTCTATTTACCATTACTTCTATTTTCATCAGTTCTTGAGGTTTTAACCTTACAGTTTTACATTTACTCCTAAAACATTATGGTACTGGGCATGGTGGTGTGGTTGTTAGCACCATCCCCTCACAGCAAGAGGGTTCTGGGTTCGAGTCCCCGGGGGAACCAGGACCTTTCTGTGTGGAGTTTGTATGTTCTCCCGAAGTCTGCACGGGTTCTCTCCGGGTTTTCCGGCCTCCTCCCACTGTCCAAAAACCTGCATGTTAGGTTGATTGGACATTCTAAATTGCCCTTATGAGTGAGTGTGAGGGTGCATGGTTGTTTGTCCTTGTGTGTCTCTGTGTGGCCCTGCGATGGACTGGCGGACTGTCCAGGATGTACCCCGCCTCTCGCCCATTGACTACTGGGATAGGCTCCAGTCACCCGCAACCCCATTAGGGGTGGGTAGATGGATATTATGGTACTGTCACTATTATTTAGTTTAATATCATAGAGAAAAACACACATTCTGACCTGTAAGGCCATCATTAGGCCAGGAGCCCAGCTCACAGGCTTGGCAGGTGTATTCATCAAACACAAATTCATTTTCTTTACAGGGAGTGCACGTCCAGCAGCAGCTCACCTCCCCCTTACGAATCACCTGAAAGAGACAGATCAAGCTGTTTATATAAGTGAACAAGTATTTGTTTAAATAAAGGTTTGTTGTTGTTTTGTTTTTTTACATGTCACTTTAAGTCAAGTCAAGCCAAGCAGATAAAATTTGATCCATTTGATTTCTGACAGGTTGCAAGGATAGCTGAGGAGTTAACAGCAGGACAGAAGGAGTGTAGGCAGTTTGATAAGCTTACAGCATATAAAACTAATTTAATCCGATTACAATAGAGATATCTGTAAAAAAGGATATACTAAGAGAAAAGCCACACACAGTTTAAAAAAAAATCTAAATGATTGCGAAAAATGTTAATGTTTGCAAGCTGGGTAACAATTATTTTTTCCAAAGCCTGTAAACTGTCAATACTTGCAAAACAACAGGTGTAACCACATATGTCAAATATATCTGCTCGCTTACCTTAATCTGGCCTTTGTCACAGGGTTCGCTGCACACAGATTTGATGATGGCCTCTTTAGTGGGCCAGATTTCATCATCATCCATCCTCAACCCCCTGTTGTCCCAACTACCAACATTTATGTAGTCATAGTAGTCCTTTCCCATCTTTTTGAAATTCATTATTTCATACCTGTTAGTGAAAGGTAATTGAGCAATGACAATTAGACAACAGGAAAGAATTGTACCACTGCAACTCAACAGGTCACGTAGAGAACAACACATCTGCTATGTCTGCTTGGTAACAATGCCTACCTGCCAGGGGAGTCTCCATTTTCATCGAATAAGATTCCTTCTCCTGACACACCAGTGAAGTTGGTTTTCATCAGGAAGTCCAACAGTGTTGCACCATCTATAGGTCGCATGGCATCACAAAGGCCCTTAAAAAACATTAACATCCATGTAATTGCGAACAAAATAATATCAACAGCAGTTTTACTTGCCGTTGTTCCATTTACCAATTCTTTGGTGAGGAAACAACACTGAATCATCATACAAGTGAAAGAAAGAGAAAATTAAAAGTGAAACGTTCCTCGATTATATCTGAGATTCATTTACTTAATTATAAGCAAGATGAACCAAATGTACTGCTTAAGAAACAAACACTGACAATTTAAATTTTAACTTCAAATAATGTGTAGATCCTCTATCACATGACCCTGCCACAAAAGGTCAATCACTGCCTGTAATTAAAACAGCTTAAGTGAAAGCTCATTTTAGTTCTACCATTCCCATTTCCATCCCTTTGTTTTTTTCTTCATCATAACAAGCCCCTCCATTCTTCCTGGACCTACCTGGTAGCCCGGGCAGAGGGAGCGCTGCATGTTATGGAGGCCATATGCCATTGAGTAAATGGCATTGATGACAAAGCCCATCTTGGTGTCCTGCGCATATTGCTGCCGAAGGGACTCCCGCTCTGTAGAGGTAGATAGATAGAATTCGAATGGCGTCAAAGTAAAGTTTGGAGTATGGATGATACTGAGTTGCCAGAGAAACTCAGTCTTTCTCTTTTTTTCCTAACATCAAAGACTGCTGTCTTTCCTCGTCTTCATCGGTTACTTTCCACCTCCACATTTACTTCCTTTCTCCCTCTACCTCTGTCTCTTTGTCCTGTTCATTTGTATTTCATGCCCTGTTTCATTAGAATGCATGAGACATGACTCTCTTTGATGCAGCTCTCACACACTGTTTTCCCTATGAATGGAAAGAATAAAACAGAAGGAGAAGCAGTGAGGACTGAATGCAACAATGAAAATAAAGGGTGCTCTCTCAAGATGAACCAGAGAGCTGTGTGCATCCACACGGTCTGTTTGTAGGTGTGTGGGAGGCTTTCAGGCTGTCTGTTGGTAGAGTGTTTACTGAAATACTGGTTATTATCAAAGCCAATCAATAAAATGGCAGGCGGGTACAGGAGTCTGCGCTGTTGACCTAAAACAACACTGCTTCTCTATGCCTTTATATCTCAGATGAGCTTTGATTTTTCGAATTTGAAAGTGTTATTTCCTAAAGACCAACAACATTAATTAACCCATCTATGATAGCTCATAATACCTGTTTCATTGGAAAAAAGAAGAGAGGAACAAAAAACATTTTTGATGTGCTGCCACTTACTGCCACAAGTGCGGTTGTACTTGTTGCTCTCCTGTGGGTGACCTTTGAGGCGACAATGGAAGCGATGCTGCCAGAACTCAGGAAACCAGGGGTTCCTGGGGTTGTTCTCAGGGCGGAGTTTCAGGTAGTAATCATCATACCACTTCACGTCCGCTGACTGGAGCTTGATGGTGATACCTCCCGCCGCTTCCCTCACGTAACCGTCGGTTACATCATACCTGTCCGCCCACCCATCACTGCGCGGGACAAAATGAGGAGATATCAGAATTATCAACTGGATGAATGAGATTATAGGATAATGTTAAAGATAAAAAGAAAGCAGAGAACATTTATCTTTCCACTTATGTGGTACAGCAAGTGAAGGTTTGGAGGATCCCTTAGAGTAGAGGCTGTATAACCTTGCGGAGTGACTGAACTTTACCCTGCAAATGTGAGCTGCTCACTGAATGTCAGATCTTTGGCCTAAAACAAAATGCCAGGGCTGTGTTTGTTCTCACATTTGTATTTGGCTGTGACTTTAGACACTTTTTTCTTTGCTCTGCTATTCATTCCATTAGTAATGCCCTTTAAAATGAAAATGTAAGATAAGAGAGCTTGGACACCACTGAATGCAACAGTCCAAAGTTTATTACATATTTATATATTGACCCCTGACCAATGCCTACAGCCCAGTTTTAAGTGTTCATTTCATTTAATTGTGCAAATGTGTTGACACACAAAGAGAAGTGAATATTTCTGAGCCCACTTGTGATACATGAATTATGATGAACTATTGCTGGGAGAACATTATGTTTTGGATGTTGGGTGAAAGACAGGTGCACCAATATGTAACGCCATTATCACAAATAAACCCCATTACTCACACAAACACCCGCACCTTTTCCACGTAATGACAAGCACAAATAGCAGAAGACATTAACTGCATGAGTACTCCGGTGTCCTCACAGGAAGAACGAATGGAAAAAAATAGCAACACAGAAAGACAGAGAAGATGAGACAAAAAAAAGGAATAGCAAATCAGGGAGACACACCGTGAAAGGAGGCAGAAACAGAGCGATTACCAGAGAGCCCGAGGACATGTGGGAGGAGACTCTTACATCATTATGGACAATGTCCAAAATTCATCATATCGCTGTGAAATGGGCATAGTTACTATGTACTGACACTGCTGCCAGCCAGCTGCTGAGCAGATCTGGGTCAAATTCAACGTTTTTGAGCGGGAGCTCAGCAGCCATGCCCTGTCAGAAACTGGCAAGATGAATATAAATAACTTTCAAAGCATTCCCACAAAGCAAGACGACATTACTTTAGGTAGACATTTTGGTACATCTCGGTTTACTGCTCTGGAAGGAACAGACGGCAAAATGAATGTGTCTGTGTGTGAAATAAATGGCGAAAGGGAAGCGGATGGGAGTGACAAATCTCTTGTTTCTTTCACACTTATTGCCAACATGCCCCAAACCTCAAACGACACAATGATCATCGGCTCATCCAACAAAAGTAAAGCTCTTTCTGGCATATTCCTTCCTTGTTTTCTATTTTTATTTCTCTCCCTTTCTTCCCCTGTCTTTCTTTCTCTTCCCTCCTGCCCAAAAGCCTCCAGAAAAAAGAACTAATTTTCTCCAAGCAGTCCTTGCAGCCTCAGCCCGGTTGGGGCTCGTAAAAGTGTGTGTGAGTCCCTGTGTGTGTAAGTGTGTTTGGACACACTGCTCTGCCAGACACCAAGTGTGTTTGTCTGTCTCTTTCCTTTTATTATAGTTATTGTTGTTGTCACCTGCTGCCTCCGAGCTGTGGTCATTTATCACAGTGGAAACACATCCAGGCTGTCTTCCATTACCTTCAACCATCCAAACAAATGTGTGCAACGGTCTGATGTTTCTGAGTGCCACATTTGCATGGAGGAGGAAAAGAACCTGGAGGGGCTTTCGGGGTGGCCAACAGTGGCTCTGTTACCAAAGTTTGCTTTGCAACTTTTCATATTTCACTCTCATCGTTTTGTCAGAATAGGCACAAAGTAACAAACCAAAACGCACGAAAACCAGAACCAATCATGTCAAGTTGTGTGAAATTCACATTTGACGTTTTCTTTTGTTTTTATAGTTACTGTTCCGAGTACATGATTGATTGTGGCTATAAAAGGTAAGGCGAATGAATAAACCACCCTCTGTGTTCAGAATAGGGCTTATAACTTCCATTTATTATAGTTTAACTTGTTTCATAACCATGTTTCTGTTAAATTAGTCTTATTGATTAAAAGCAAAAGCCAACCGAGCTTGAAATAGTTTTGGCTGCTGACTACTGTAACTTCTTATTGTCGACTACTCCCCTTCAGCAGTGAATAATGACATTTAGTATATTTCATGCGAAAATTAGCTTCTGGTCCATGTTTAGCACAAATCTGTGATGAATACAAAAAAATGGGGGGGGGGGGGTAAAAGAAAAAAAAAAAAAATGAAATAAGTTAATGAAGCTAAAAGACAAAGACAGTGAAGATAGAGAAGTTAGAAATCAATATCATCAATCATTAATCAGCACTCTCTCATCTCATCACATCACTAGGTTTCTTTTTTGTTTCGAACAGGTCCCCCCCCCAGTATCTTTCATCGCCCCCATTAACACTTTCATCTTTCCCATGAGCTTCTCTGCTCTGTCTTGATCCTTTTCATCTTCATCTCCAAATGGTCTCACAGTCAGCACCATCCTTTCAATTACCCTGTTCATGGACAGAACACATCTCTAATGTCTCCGTTACAGCTTTTGCTGAATTTTGAGACACTAAACCCCATCATCCGAATTCCCGTTCAGGGTTTTTCAAGACTTTATATTGCAGCCAAGAGCATTTTCATCTAAATTGTTGTGTTATTCATGCCTGCATTCCCCTTTTTGTAGAGTTAGAGAGATTTCCATGTCATGGAGGAAGGCCTCCTGTGCTGTCTCAACAAGAGGAAGCCTGATTCATTTCTCAGCACATCACATCAGCCTTGTACTGTTTGAAGCTTTTGGTTTCATTTTGGTCTAACTTTACAGTATATCGTTTATTATGTGGAAGTGCTGCAGCTTCACAATCATTCTTCATCTAAATGTTTCATCGCAAAAATAAATTAGCAGTTTTGAGAAAAGGATGTCACGTTTCAGGATGTTTGTTAAAGCAACAGTGGAAATCATTAGGAGGCTGAAACCTAGCCAAGCTAAAATGTCCACCTAGTTCAGAATCACAGGTTAATTTAACATGCATGTATCTTGTGGGACAAATAAAGAACATTCTTCCTGATTTCCTCCTGGGTTTTCTTTAAGACTGAAAAGAATATGTATTTTTCTTTTTTTAGTTTTGCAGTTTGAGTTCCATTTCCTTGTTTGGCTTGCCATCTACTTGGCACCCTTCCCAGCAGGTCACACCTGCAGCTCCTCAGCAGGGGAAATGACACGCCAGACTGGCATGAACACAAACATGCTCATAAAGAGTCTTCCACTGATTATCTTCTGACAGTAAACTCAAACTACTTGTGAAAGGTTTCCCACGATTATAATATGAAACTGTTGCTGGGGCAGCTGCGATTTTTAGCTCACCTGTCACTTTTACTGGAAGCCGCAACAATTGCACAGGGGGAAAAAAACACTTGATTTTTAAAAATGCTGGATAAAGATACTCAGCAAAAAAGTTACAAAACCATCAAAAATTAAAAAGACAAAGAGACAGTCAACATGTGAGAGGGGACTGTGTCAAACCATGACTATTCCTAAAAATGTGAATATTTGGCTGCTGTCTAATGCACTTCCCCATGTCATCTTGTTGTGTAAATCTGACCAGACAGACATGTAACACCTGACAAAGCTGGCAAAAACAAATTTGTGCTCATCACTTCTGTGGGTGTTATCAAGAGCCTATTTTCCCATTCTGATATAAATGGCACCCACACATGCGCGTGCACATCCGTTTGCACGCACACACACACCAGTCACCAGAGCGTTGCAGAGTGGGATAACAAAAAAAAAATTGTTTCACTATCATGGCTGATTGAGCTGTCAATTGTTTTAACATGAAGTTTCTAATAAGCCCATCAGGAAGTCAAATGTTTATTCAACTCTCCAGCTAAAATGATATTTGCTGTGATCATCATCAAGAACAATAATTAAGAACTGAACGGTTTTCTTGTTAGCTCAGTGACAATCACAGATGCTGGGAAATGGAACTTGTCTTGCACATAACATAAAGAATAATACAGATATTTATTTTCAGCTGGAACATTTTGTTGCTTATTTACATTTGTGTAAATCCTTTTTAGGTCCAGCTGGAAGGACAGTGGTGGTTATAAGTAAGGTGTATCACAATATGACACGTTTAAAGCACATGTGACATGACCTCAGTTATGTGGTGGTTAGTCATGTTAGTCCCGACAGCAAGATGCAAAAGAGAACAAGCAAGAATGCAAACAGTTTTCACAATGTGAACCTGAGAAAAGCTGGGATAAAAAGTCAGCTGAGCAGTAAGATTGGACTAACTAAAATCTGTCTCGCCATTAAGTTCAAATCAAATGTTCTTAATGTTATCTTGACCAGGTGATGAGCCCTCCTGTTTGTACAGCTAACACTGTGACGGAGTAGTATGCAGAAAAGTAATACAAAACACACATGATTTGAATCCAAATGTTGCTCTTTGCTTTGCTCTTTTTTTGCAAGCACTGCTCAACCTGCATAAATTGACTCAACAATTATATTATATGCACTTCTATGACTAAAATAAAAAATATTCCCTTGCTTCGCGCTACCATCTTGCTTATTGAATAATGGAGCGGCATCTGATTTGCTTGCCCCATAGCACTGACAGCAGATAATGGGGGCACACCAGGGGTTGAATATTATGGACCTTCAGAAAGAAACTGTAGATTAAATTAGGCTTCCCACAATGCTGGACAAATACTTATGCCATTATTTTCTCATGCGTCCGAGTATAAACTGTATCCTGTCCTAGTCTATAGCCAATGCTCCCATTGGATTTGATGTTGTTACTTCTGAAAACTGATTCATCAATAGCCCACTACTCCCCGCACTTTTGATACACTGTTTGTCATCAATGAAAATACAACTTACACAGTGTGTTTCAAACCAGCCAAAAGAAGTATGTAAATATAGAAAACTGGTATTTAAAAAACTGGAAATGAACTCATGAGATATGCAGCTGTGTGGGTGATGATGTAACAAAAAGAAGGCCTTATAAAAAGGATATGGGGTACATGTATACCAATACTGTATGAGCGTAAACTAAGTGTGTGGACC